CTCAAAATCTGTTAGTGGAAAAAACTATTGGTTGCATTCCCAAACAAAACATGTGTGGATTCACTGTAAAAATTGCGAAAGGAGTTCCAATTTATATTTAAAGAGCTTCATCTCCATGAACAGGACATACAGCTTTTCTGTAACCCATTTTCTATTGACATTGAAAATGTGGATACAATTTACCATATGGAACTGGCTGAACTGCAGAATTGTGACTCTCTGAAAGACGCATTCAAGTCAAGCAGCCTTCATAATTTCTATGCATCTCTCCCCTCTGAGACATATCCTCATCTCAGGAACCATGCACTCAAAATGGCAACCATCTTTGGCAGCACTTATGTCTGTGAACAGACTTTTTTCAGAATGAAACATTTGAAATCTCCAATCATATCTAGACTAACGGATGCACACTTGCATCACTTGTTACGACTATCAGTGACAAATATGGAACCGGACATTGACCATCTCATTAGCCAAAAGCAGGCTCATAGTTCCCATTGAAATACTGGCAAGTTTGTTGATTTAACTTTACTTGTTCTTCATTTTAAATATTGTATTTGTTCCTGTTTTGTTTCTTCACTTCAAAATAAGATATATGCAGTGTGCATAGGAATTTGTTCATAGTTCTTTTTAACTATAGTCCGGCCCTCCAACGGTCTGAGGGACAGTGAACTGGCCCCCTGTTTAAAAAGTTTGAGGACCCCTGGTCTAGAGCCTCAACAAAGGCTAGTCTGGTGTGTTCCTGTTGAAGGCGAGTGATGTTAAGACGCTCGACATGTCTTTTTCCTTGTGGGCGTCTGGGAGGCTTAATCCGGATGTTAAGTTTGGAGATGATGAGACGATGGTCAGTCCAACATTCAGCACCACACATCGCCTTGGTCACCCTGACATCGTGCCGGTTGCTCCTCCTCATGACGACGTAGCCAATCACGTGGACAGTGGTGTGTGAACGAGGATGCATCCATGAAGTTTCTTGCGCTTTGGTAGTTGGAATATCGTGTTGGTGGTGAGCAGGTCAAATTCAGAGCATGTTTTCAGCAGCAGCAGAAGACTGTTGCTGTTACATTTTCCAATTCCGTGCGCACCTATGACTCCATTCCATGATTGATGGTCACTTCCGAACTCTGGCATTGAAGTCACCAAGTATCAGGAGTTTGTCAGAGCTGGCTGTGGCAGCAATAATGACTTCCAGGTCATTATAAAACTTGGTTTTGACCTCGTCAGAGTTGGTCATGGTAGGGGCATAGGCACTGATGATGGTGGCCACCTTTTTACCCAATAGGTGGAGCTGTAAGGTCATTAAACGGTCGTTTATCCCCTTGGGTTGGCTTGCCAGTTGGTTGACCAGGTGTTTTTTTACTGCAAAACCAACACCAGCATCACGTCTCTCCTCCTGGCCTCGTCCGCTCCAGAAGAATGTGTAACCTGCACCCACTTCAAGCACCTGTCAAGTATTGGCCAGTCGGGTCTCACTAAGGGCAGCAACATCCACGTTGTATCTTGCTAGCTCTCTGCCCACGAGGGCGGTGCGTCTCTCAGGTCTTTTTGATCCAGATGTGTCCATCAAAGTTCACATATTCCAGGCGCCAACAGTGAGTGGTATCACTTTGGTCTTGGTCATTTCATTTGTTTTTCTTTTTGCTTTTAGACCGCAAGTATGGGATTCCGCCAGCTGCGGTAGGCTGGCCAGGATGTTTTGAAGCAGGCAATGTTTAGTAAAACACCTTCTAAAGAAGATGTTTTACTTTTTCAGAGAGTTTTTGTAGCTGAGGAAGTTGGGTCAATTCTATGAATTGATCATCCTATTCCTGCAAAGTCTTCCAGAAAAAGCACCGTATATCAACGGTGTGTGCAAAAATCCAAGTGGGATGCATGTCAAACAATAACAACCATTAGACAATATAGACTAAAGTTATCAGGCTAACGCTGTACTACAACAAACATGGCTAGACCAAACCGTTTTCAAAATCACCAAAATAAAGCTATAAAAACAATGTAACAGTGATCATAGGAACTGTGATTCAAATTTAACAATAAACGATATACATAACATGTACAACCAAACTTTGCAGCCATAGATGGTTGCACGAGTCACTCCATAACAGCAGGAGTATCAGTAGCAGTGTGTGTGGCCGAGCGCCGGGCACATGGCGCCGTGATCTGGCCGAGGTACGAGAGGATCAGAGGGCACGGAGGAAAGCCACGGAGAGAAGGGGGAGAGCAGATAGAGTCCACTCAGAGAGGAGCCAGAGTGAGCAATAGACTGTGACTGACGACGATGGCGATGATTATGGCGATAATGAAGACAATGACGAGCATAATGGCGATGACGATTATGATGACGGTAATGAAGACAATGGCAATGATGACGATTATGATGACGGTAATGAAGACAATGGCAATGATGACGATTATGATGACGGTAATGAAGACAATGGCAATGATGACGATTATGATGACGGTAATGAAGACAATGGCAATGATAACGATTATGATGACGGTAATGAAGACAATGACAATGATGACGATTATGATGACGGTAATGAAGACAATGGCAATGATGACGATTATGATGACGGTAATGAAGACAATGGCAATGACGACGATTATGACGGTAATGAAGACAATGGCAATGATGACGATTATGATGACGGTAATGAAGACAATGGCAATGATGACGATTATGATGACAGTAATGAAGACAATGGCGATGATGACGATTATGATGACGGTAATGAAGACAATGGCGATGATGACGATTATGATGACGGTAATGAAGACAATGGCAATGACGACGATTATGATGACGGTAATGAAGACAATGGCGATGATGACGATTATGATGACGGTAATGAAGACAATGGCAATGATGACGATTATGATGACGGTAATGAAGACAATGGCGATGATGACGATTATGATGACGGTAATGAAGACAATGGCGATGATGACGACTGCAGGAGGACGTCACCGGAGCACTTGACTTGGCACGCGTTGTGCCCCTTGGTGCCGTTGTCGCACCACCACTTGCTGTTGATCTGGAAGATGCCGTAGTCCGTGGAGCCGTTGGGGTTGCGGTGTGTGGCCGCCGTGCTGTAGCTGCTCTCGGCGAAAGCCAAACACACCCCTGGGCACCAAAGACAAACATCAACCCCCGCCATGCATACCCTTTAGCGAGCAGCAGCGCCTACCAAGGCCGGCACCGTGACACACGAGGGGGTGGGTGGCCTGCACCACGCCCGGCTGCCTTTGTCTCCGCAGTGGCGATGTTTACACACCGCGCCAGGTACTCGTTTGAGGTTGAGTCGACCTAGGGGAGGCCCAGGACCGGTTCAGATAACCACCGGTGGTGTTGGCCGCGAGCGGGAATCGAACTCGGGTCACCGGATTCGTAGCGCAGCGTAGTGGTAATTGCCACACCATCGCTCACCACCATCGCTCACCACCACCGCTCACCACCACCGCTCACCACCACCGCTCACCACCACCGCTCACCACCACCGCTCACCACCACCACCAGCGAGTGAACCACAACATCCTCCCCAGGGGTGAGCTAACAGCGCGTGGGAGAAACCCACTGTCCCGTGTGAGAGTATCTCTTTAACTCACCCGTGGTGAGCGAGTGGTTGGGTGAGCGAGTGAGTGGGTGAGTGGCTGGGTGACGCCTGTATATGTGGAGTTTGCTTGTCTCGTTGTCCAGAAGAGTTTTCTCCGGGGTCCTTCGGGTTTTCCCTCCACGTTTAGAAATGTACACACAATAAGCCACTTCGTTCAACTATCAATAATGGGCAGGTTGCTTACGAACAAGAGCTACATAGCTTTGGTAAAATTAGAATACAGTAGTTAAGCGGTCGCGCGTTTCGCCGCTTGTTGCAGAAGTCTGCGGTTCGAATCCGCTTGGCCGCCCTGGTTAGTGAAACAAATCACGACGTTTCGATCGCAACACAAGCAAGCTTCATCAGATAATTGGTTCTTTACCCTTCTATCTGGCAACAAAACTGACACCTTTTTGCAAGGAGTCATGTTTGCATAGACCGCAATACCTGCAGTCATAATACAAACAAAAGAACATAACTCTGATAATGTGCACTGTCCTTGAAGTTGATTGGTCCACACCCGAGACAGCTTTCCTTCGAGCCTAGTCTCATATGGGTTGGACCAGATGACGCCAAAAGATAGAAGGGTAAAGAACCAATTATCATATTTTTACTGGCAAATGAGGTCCCCATAGTGTAGAAGCTTCATCAGGTGGGACACAACCACAGCAAAAAATGCTGAAGTAGACGAGAGAGCTGTGGTTGATGAGGTTGTTCCACCTGATGAAAATTGCTCGTGTTGCGATCGAAACGTCGTGATTTGTTTTATTTTATTTTATACCTACGTGACTTTACCAAAAGAACAAAAGAGTGTGGATTCCTGCATTCACGAAAGCTTCAAATCAAGATAGTTTAGTTTATAAATTGAACCGTAAATAGTTCGACGAATAGTGGCTACTCAGCAAGACAAAGCCCTTCAATGATCACAACGTATTTGCTGCTAAATAATCAAACACATTTGCATTGAAAAGGCAAATTATTAAATGGTGCTGGCACACTGCATTGTCGACCATTCAATTACCATCGCAGTCGATTACCATCCCAATTAGTTACCACCCCAATCAATGACCATCTCAATCAATGACCATCGCAATCAAATAGCGCCTCGATCAATAACCATCTCAATCAATTAGCATCTCGTTAAGTCACCATCTGGATGATTTACCGTCCCACACATTACCATCTCAACCAAACGAATGCAACTGCCCGACGTGACGTGCAAAAGTGAGGCCGAAAACAAAGAGACCACTGCTGGCGGATTGAACAAAAAAAAACCTGGGATTTTGATGGCGACCGTCAGAACAGCAACAAGAACAACCACCACAAAACAACCCCAGATCCTCGATCAACGCCCGTCTCTGGCTCGGAATGTTGGTAGTGGAGGTGTGTGGGTGAAGCTCTCACAGTCGCCGAGGCTGTCTGTCCCCACTCCCATGTCGTGCAGGGCCTTCGCGAGCTCGCATCGTGCGAACACTTTGGCACGCGTGCAGGGGACGACGCAGAGAGACGCCGCCAGCACGAACATCGCGAACGAACGAAACGACATCGCGAGAGATTATTTTTGTTTTCTCCACCACGGCCACTCTCCGCTCTCGTTCTGCCTCTCGTTGCTCAGCCCGCACCCGGCTTTTATAGCCCCCCACCACCACCGCTCACACCCGGTCAGCTGCAGGAGGAACTCGCCGAGTTTGCGTGCTCGCTCGCCTCGCAGCGAGATAACGATCACGCTTCTCACAAGACACGTCGTGGTTTGCGTGTGGGCGTTTGGGACGAGCGGTGGTGCAAAAGTTAGCGCTGCGCTAAGACCCTGGCCACGCCGAGTTCAGATTTCGAGCTCACGGCCACCAAACCAGTGACGATTATCTCAAATCGGTCCCGTGGCCTCCCTCTAGGACGACTCAGTATGAAACGAGTACCTGGTGCGATGCGTAAAACATCGCCACTGGGGAGACAAAGGCGGGCGAGCGCGGTGGTGGCAACCCACCCCTTCGGCTGCCAAGTCGTCGCCCATAGTTGGTCGTCAACAGCACTTTCCCCAAAATTCTGTTGACGTAATACGGTGGATTTGTGTCTCACAGTACATAATGGGGAGCGGTGGCGCAGTGATTATCGCATTGCGCATGTTACAAGCGGTAAAGCCACGTAGATAGGTTGAAATAAAGTAACAAAAACCTACAAAAGAAAGTTTTTTGGTGATTTTCTTTCAAACTATCTACGTGATTCTAGATTTGAAGCTTTCGTGACTGCAAGGATTCATATTCTTAGGATTTTTCGGTAAAGTCACGTAGGTAAACATTTAAAATTAAAATTAATTTAAAAAAAGTCACTATCTACGTGACTTTACTGAAAGATCCGAAAAATATGTATTCCTGCACTCACGAAAGCTTTAAGTTCAAGATTAAAGCGAGATAAGCCTCACGCTTGGTCGATAGCCGACACAGTGTGTGCGGGTTACCGACGGGAGGGAACCCAACCTTGCAGAACATGGGGAGAAGAAACACACTCCTCTCACTCACTTTGTAGAACAGGGGGAGATCATACAAACTCCACTCACTCACTTTGTAGAACAGGGGGAGATCATACAAACTCCACTCACTCAGTCTGTAGAACAGGGGGAGATCATACAAACTCCACTCACTCACTCTGTAGAACAGGGGGAGATCATACAAACTCCACTCACTCACTCTGTAGAACAGGGGGAGATCATACAAACTCCACTCACTCACTCTGTAGAACAGGTGGAGATCATACAAACTCCACTCACTCAGTCTGTAGAACAGGGGGAGATCATACAAACTCCACTCACTCACTCTGTAGAACAGGGGGAGATCATACAAACTCCACTCACTCACTCTGTAGAACAGGGGGAGATCATACAAACTCCACTCACTCACTCTGTAGAACAGGTGGAGATCATACAAACTCCACTCACTCAGTCTGTAGATCAGGGGGAGATCACACAAACTCCACTCACTCAGTCTGTAGATCAGGGGGAGATCATACAAACTCCACTCACTCACTCTGTAAAACAGGGGGAGATCATACAAACTCCACTCACTCACTCTGTAGAACAGGGGGAGATCATACAAACTGCACTCTCACTTTGTAGAACAGGGGGAGATCACACAAACTCCACTTAGTCTGTAGATCAGGGGGAGATCATACAAACTCCACTCACTCACTGTAGATCAGGGGGAGATCACACAAACTCCACTCACTCACTCTGTAGAACAGGGGGAGATCATACAAACTGCACTCTCACTTTGTAGAACAGGGGGAGATCACACAAACTCCACTCTCTCTTTGTAGAACAGGGGGAGATCACACAAACTCCACTCTCACTTTGTAGAACAGAGGGAGCTCACACAAACTCCACTCACTCACTTTGTAGAACAGGGCGAGATCACACAAACTCCACTCACTCACTTTGTAGAACAGGGCGAGATCATACAAACTCCACTCACTCACTCAGTAGAACAGGGGGAGATCACACAAACTCCACTCACTCACTCTGTAGAACAGGGGGAGATCACACAAACTCCACTCTCACTCTGTAGAACAGGGGGAGATCATACAAACTCCACTCACTCACTCAGTAGAACAGGGCGAGATCACACAAACTCCACTCACTCACTTTGTAGAACAGGGCGAGATCATACAAACTCCACTCACTCACTCACTCAGTAGAACAGGGGGAGATCACACAAACTCCACTCTCACTCTGTAGAACAGGGGGAGATCATACAAACTCCACTAACTCTCTCTGTTGAACAGGGGGAGATCATACAAACTCCACTCTCACTCTGTAGAACGGGGGGGAGATCACACAAACTCCACTCTCACTTTGTAGAACAGGGGGAGATCACACAAACTCCACTCTCACTTTGTAGAACAGAGGGAGCTCACACAAACTCCACTCACTCACTCTGTAGAACAGGGGGAGATCATACAAACTGCACTCTCACTTTGTAGAACAGGGGGAGATCACACAAACTCCACTCTCACTTTGTAGAACAGGGGGAGATCACACAAACTCCACTCTCACTTTGTAGAACAGAGGGAGCTCACACAAACTCCACTCACTCACTTTGTAGAACAGGGGGAGATCACACAAACTCCACTCTCACTCTGTAGAACAGGGGGAGATCACACAAACTCCACTCACTCACTCTGTAGAACAGGGGGAGATCACACAAACTCCACTCTCACTCTGTAGAACAGGGGGAGATCATACAAACTCCACTCACTCACTCAGTAGAACAGGGCGAGATCACACAAACTCCACTCACTCACTTTGTAGAACAGGGCGAGATCATACAAACTCCACTCACTCACTCAGTAGAACAGGGGGAGATCACACAAACTCCACTCACTCTGTAGAACAGGGGGAGATCACACAAACTCCACTCTCACTCTGTAGAACAGGGGGAGATCATACAAACTCCACTCACTCACTCAGTAGAACAGGGCGAGATCACACAAACTCCACTCACTCACTCAGTAGAACAGGGGGAGATCACACAAACTCCACTCTCACTCTGTAGAACAGGGGGAGATCATACAAACTCCACTAACTCTCTCTGTTGAACAGGGGGAGATCGTACAAACTCCACTCTCACTCTGTAGAACGAGGAGATCACTCTGTAGATCAGGGGGAGATCATACAAACTCCACTCACTCACTGTGTAGAACAGGGGGAGATCATACAAACTCCACTAACGCACTCTGTAGAATAGGGGGAGATCATACAAACTCCACTCACTCACTCTGTAGAACAGGGGGAGATCATACAAACTCCACTAACTCACTCTGTAGAATAGGGGGAGATCATACAAACTCCACTCACTCACTCACTCTGTAGAACAGGGGGAGGTCATACAAACTCCACTCACTCACTCAGTAGAACAGGGGGAGATTACACAAACTCCACTCACTCACTTTGTAGAACAGGGGGAGATCATACAAACTCCACTCACTCTGTAGAACAGGGGGAGATCATACAAACTCCACTCACTCACTCTCTTTGTAGAACAGGGGGAGGTCATACAAACTCCACTCACTCACTCAGTAGAACAGGGGGAGATTACACAAACTCCACTCACTCACTTTGTAGAACAGGGGGAGATCATACAAACTCCACTCTCACTCTGTAGAACAGGGGGAGATCATACAAACTCCACTCACCCTCTCTGTAGAACAGGGGGAGATCATACAAACTCCACTCACCCCCTCTGTAGAACATGGGGAGATCACACAAATTCCACTCTCACTTTGTAGAACACGGGAAGAACATCCAAACTCCACTCTCACTTTGTAGAACACGGGAAAAACATCCAAACTCCACTCGCTCACACTCTGCGGAACAGAGTGGGAGATCAAACACACTTCACTCAGTTCTCTCTCTGCAGAAGTGGGAGAACATCCAAACTCCACACAGCAAAGTCGCCCATATCGGGAATCAAACCCAGTCTTTCTCGCTGCTCCACCCAGCAAATTGCTCAACGTTGCATCAGATGTCGTGCGGCGCCGACGGCCGCTTGAATGCGGAAACTTGCGACGGCGTGATGAACGTGCATCAGCGCAGTGCGCTAACCATTCCACCACTTGTCAACAGACACCCCCCCCCCCACCCCGTGTAGCCTCAACAAACTGTTGGGGCAAGTGCTGTTAGCGAGTAGCAGCAGCTATGACGAGGTGGGTGGCCAACACCACGCCCGGCCGCCTTTGTCTCCCTCCTGATGTTTACTAAATACCGAAAAAGGAACTCGGTTGAGGAAATAGGAAAGTCACAAGACTCGTGAACGGGAAGTCATCGCGATGACTGCACTGGTGTGAATTCAGACAAGGAACACGTGACGTGTCACATCCAAGCATTTTTATATGCAATGTTATTGAGGGACTGTGCGTGTTGTCTTGGTGTGGGGTCTGCCGCTCCTGTTGTTCTTCTCCCTTGCCCAAGCTTAGGAATGTGTACTTATGCAATTCGGACTTAAACCCTCTCGACTTTATGTATTTATTTTTTGGTCCTTTGCTTTCCGTTCCTCTACTTTGCACTCCGGCCGTTATTTTTTTGTTATAACTTTCTGAGCTTCATAGCTCATCATATTTCTCCAGGATAAAAAAAAATTCCTGATTCAAGCGGGGATGGCTGTTACCAGTGGCGTAGTAACGACATTATCAGACATTATCAGCTCGGGGGTTGCGGAAATCGATCAGGTGGATCCGTCTCGCATGGTCGCACCGAGGCGATGAATTATCGCGGCTGCTCTTATCTAATCACATCATCGTCATGCTCAAGGTCTCGAACGTTTAACGCTGTAGGGGTGCTCCATCTTTGCAAAAATGCAGCCACTATACGGCTCCGTAGTTACCTCTTTGCAATATGATTGACGCATATGGAATGAAACAAATATCCCAAACGTTGCTGCTGATTAAATTAAAATAAATCGCGAAAGCATTTTCATAAGAAATAAATGCAAACCGCATTATCAATAAGTGTTGTTGTTGTTGCTCTTGTACACTGTGGTTGAAAACAAATCTCGTGGAGGTTGTCAAGGGGGCCCCTCCCAACTCGTAGCTTTGGCCATCAGGACGGGTTGGGGGCCTGCCCCCACGCTCGTTACACCGCTGTTGGCTGTTACGTCTGCTCACTGGGGACGCGTGTGGGACGGAGGGGGCCAAGGCCATCACGGCGCCACGCTCGCAGCACTTAAAACGCGTTGCTGCAGGCACCAGCGCACGCAGGGCGACGACGCAGTGGAGAGAGAGAGAGAGCGACACAGTTCGAGGCGTTTGACGCGCGACGTTTATTCCTCCAGCCCCGTGACTGCCCCTCGCGTTGTCGACAGCTGAATGGCCCATCGGCAGCATCACAGGAAGTTCATGGCTTCGGTCAGCTTGTCCGACAACTTCGATGAAAGCTTGTCTGCAAAACAAGAAGTGAAGACGTTCAGTCGCGAACCCGCCCGTCGACCCCGCCCACCGCGAGGTCATCTATTGCCCGAGGAGTGCCGCCGGCCCTTTGCAGGGATGCCACACGGCCCAATAGCACCGTCACAGCGATTACACTGGTCAACACACTTTTTCTGGCATAAGGTTTTCCAACGGGTTTAAGGTAATTTTGGGGTGCCGATTCCAAATCTGGCATGAGTTTTTGTCTATCACATCAGATTTTTGAGATATCAAATATTGCATTTTCAATAAAAACTGCAGAAGAAAAATATGAAATAAATGTGGATATCTACATAAAATGAAATTATAAACACACTATCCTAAAAATACAGCACCATATTTTAACACTAAAGCAACAACTTGCAATCATAAGTGACAGAGTTAATTTTGGGTAAAATCAATGAAAATGGGGTATGCCGATAGCATAAAAATGATGTGATAGAGCAAATCTGACATCAGATTTGGAATCAGCACCCTGAAATTAGTCTAAAACAGCTGCAAATGTCCAGGCCAGAATTTTTTTTTGTTGACCAGTGTTATTGCACAGCCTCGTGGTTCAAACTGGCAGGCCTCCCTGGTTATTACTGCGAGTGCAGTATTTTAACTACTTATGTATGAGGGTGCCACCCTAACCTACACATCCCAGTCTCCTTCATCCACTCATTCAGGGTGCTACCCTGACGATACTGTCATTAAAATACCGTTGTTATAATCGCGAGGAGCAAGACGGGGAAACCCTGGTCGCCGCACAATTCCAATTAGCACGGTTGGCTACGTACGATGTGAAAGAAGTTTAACATGCACAGAAATGTAAGGATGTTAGACATCCTTGGATAGCGTCTTTGTAGGACATGGGGTGTGATGATATCGTAAATGCCATAACCACCACATTATAGCTATCCTCAGGCGCTACCGCCTGAGGATAGCTATAATGATGATGTGACTTGCTAGATGGCGATTGGTTGGAAGCATTGAAAGAGAAAGCAGGCGGGGAGCTTTGAAAGGGGCAAGGGGTCCGATGAGGCTGTTAGAAGAGTAGACGGGGAATTGGTGAGAAGCAAGGGGATGGGCGGAGATGAGGGGGAAGGAGGAGAGGCCAATAGGCAAGGGTGAGAAAGGGGCTCTGGGGAGAGGGACGGCAAGGGAGTGATGTTGGCTGGTGATGGGGCACTGGGTGTTATCGTTGTCACCAAACTTTATCCAAGAATTCTAGATTTGAAGCTTTCGTGACTGCAAGGATTCATACTCTTAGTTTTTTCGGTAAAGTCACGTAGGTAAAAAATGAAATTTAAATTAATAAAAGTAAAATAATAAAAGATCACGACGTTTCGGAGGCAACACAAGTCTCCGTCATCAGGTGGGACAGTCACAGCCAGATTTGCTGTATCAAGTGAAGCATCTTGGAATCCCTGCCTCACTTGATACAGCAAATCTGGTTGACTGTCCCACCTGATGACGGAGACTTGTGTTGCCTCCGAAACGTCGTAATCTTTTATTATTTTACTTTTATTAATTTTAATTTAATTTTTTACCTACGTGACTCTACCGAAAAAACTAAGAGTATTTATCCAAGAAGTGCCGCATTTAGAGTCCTTCATGACCCGCGCGCGCGCGCACACCCCAGCCACGCTCCCCTCCCCGCCCCCGCCCCTCCTACCTGCCCTCTTCTGGATCTTCTTGTGGCGCTTGACGGCTGCGCGCAGGGCCTGGCCCTGCTGGAGGGGGGGCACGGCGCGGATCTGCGCCAGGTCCACCCGCCGCAGGGCCACTGGGGCCTCCTCCTCCTTCGCATCGCTGGGCCTCGCTCCGCCCTTCCTCCGCGCCCGGATCTCCACCGTCATCGGCCCCAGCTGCCGCAAGCAATGCACGGGTAAAGGCGCAGCCCCTGCAACGGCTCGCCGGCGGCAGAGGCCACCGGCAGCCACGACAGGGAGGCTGCTGCAGCACGCCACCGCCGCTTCCGACGGTGTGCTTGGCCTACTCCTCTACGCTGTAGACGCTGCTCACGGTTTTTAGTTTTGCTTTACACTTTACACTGTTGCCGAGCACGCGAGCCAAAAGGCCTGAAACGGTCAAGCGACCAGCAACAAACAGCACCGTAAAAGTGGTGATAAATTATGTTGATGGGCAACACGGTGGTGAGACGTTAACTACCTTGCTTGGGGTATGAAGGTTGTGGGTTAGATCCCAACCCTGATGCTGTATATGTGGAGTTTGCGTGTCTCCCTTTCTCTTCCCGTGGTCGCACGGATTTTTCTCCGGGTCCCCCAGTTTTTCCCTCCACATTTACACTCGATGAGCGTTTCTATTATTTGGCTGCAGTTAACTTTCCAGGTGACAAGCCAGGTCGCTTCTGAAAAAGAGCTAAATGGCTGAGTGGGCCTTACCTGGTAAAATATAATAGTTTTAGTTTGTGTGATCTCAATTGCTGTAATTTGGAGGTAATGTTTCAGCATTGGGATGTTTTACCAATAACAGTTCAACTGTGTGTGTGGGATTTGCTATGGGAGGAATCTGGTGAACCTGGAGAAAGCCCAGAGAACAGGGGAAAACTGACTCCACTCACTCCACACACACACACTTGCATACGCACTCACACTCTGCAGAATAGTGGGAGAACGTAAAAATGCCACATTCAACTCTCTCACTGTAGAACAGGGAGAGAACATGTAAAATTCCACTCACTCACTCTGCAGGACAGGGGGAGAAACAAGCAAACACCACAACCTCAGACACACACTCTGCAGGACAGGGGGAGAAACAAGCAAACACCACAACCTCAGACAAACACACACTCTGCAGGACAAGGGGAGAAACAAGCAAACACCACAACCTCAGACACACACACTCTGCAGAACAGGCGTTGCCCATCGCTGTGCCACGTACCCTGCCACCCCAAACATTCGCGTGTGACGCAGCGCAAACCGCCCTGAGATTCTCACTTCCGAATTCAAGCCTTCGTCCATCGTCTCCTCCTGCTCTTCCTCCTCCTCGTCGTCGTCGTCTCCTCCATCATCCACATCATCTGCACCCATCCCCTCCTTCATCCCCTCCTCCACCTCCTCCTCCACCTCCTCTCCGTCCATGTTGGCCAAAGCTTCGTGCGAGGAGGCTCCGGCCGTCACTCCGCCCGAGGTGACGCACCACGTGCCCGGCTCGGCCTCCGTTTGCAGGCCTTGGGGGCGGGTTGCGATGGTGCCACAAAACCACAAAGAGCGCGGGCGAATGAAACTAGTGCCGGAGGTGTCGGCAGCCGATTATTGACACTTCGGAATTAACGTCGTCCGGGTGCGGTGTGTCTCGCCGAATGTGTGACCCTCTCGCGGTGCGATGTTCGGTGTGATGATCTGCCAGTGTGGCACGCGGTGTGATGCTCACCGGCCAGCACAGCGTCGTCCTCCCTCTCCAGCGCATCCAGGTCGAAGGCAGCGCCCATCTCGGCGACGATGGTGGCGCTGATGTGCGTGGGCATCGTGTGCTGCTCGGGGGGGTGCGTGTAGTAGCTGATGCGGCCGCTGGGAACGCCACGCGGGGGACAGATGGGGGAGGGGGGGGAGGGGTCAACATTCAGCCCCGCAAGTGCTCGGTTGCGACACTGCTGGCCGAAGGGTCGCGGTGCCCTGTCATGGAGGGGGGGCATGGGGGGGCTACTCTTCCATACCGGAGGCGAGTAGGTGAGCGAGTGGGTGGGCGGGTAAGTGGGTGGTGGGCGGGAAGGCGTGCGGGCGAGTGGGAGACCGAGTGGGTGAGCGGGCAAGTGGATTGGAGGCTGAGTGAGTAGGTGAGCGAGTGGGTGGGAACGCGAGTGGATGGCAGGGATCATGTGGCCCGCAAGTATTAACAAGGGCGGCCTGCCGGGTATAAACCGTGGACCTATAAACCGTGTGACGAGTGCCAAAACGCGCTCCCGCGGGGCTATGTCGCCGTACAGAAGCAGGAGGAGGGTGAGGAGGAGGAGGAGGGTGAGGAGGAGGAGGAAGGTGAGGAGGAGGGTGAGGAGGAGGGTGAGGAGGAGGAGGAGGGCGAGACCTGGTCCAATCGGTGAGCACGGCCTTGGCCGCCTGCTCGTGGTCGGGCACGGCGCCGCGCTTGAGCCGGCCCTGCCTGCGCGCCAGGTGGCACAGGAACTCGCGGCTGTCACGGAAGTTGCCGACGCCGTAGTGCTGCATGATCTGTGTGACGGAGACCCCCGGCCCACACGCGGTCAACACACAGCCCACACGCGGCCCACACGCGGTCCACACGCGGTCAACACCCGGCCCACACGCGACCCACACGCGTCAACAGTCAACACACAGCCCACGCATGGCCCACACGCGACCCACACGCGTCAACACACAGCCCACGCATGGCCCACACGCGACCCACGCGCGGCCCACACGCAACCCACACGCCACCCAGACGCGACCAACACGCGACCCACACGCGACCCACACGCGACCCACACGTGACCCACACGCGACCCACACGCAGTCAACATGCGGCCCACACGCGGTCAACATGCGGCCGACACCTACAGCGACACCACTTTAGCGCTCAGGTCAAGCTATTTCACCTGTCTGTACAGTTTCAGACAAGCTTAGTGCAGAACTGAATGTTAATGCTTAATCGCAACTCAGTCCATGCGAGTCTCTGTGTGAACCCAGGTTAATTGCGAGGGCCCATATCTAACAGAGAAGGTCCTTGCCTATATACGTGGAGCAGTTTCGCCAGCGTCGATTTAAGCAAAGCCTGATGAGACACTGATTGTCGAAACCAGCACCTGCTTATAAATATGGAGCTGTTAACGAGTGTTGGTTTGAGCTCGCCTAACTGTCGATGAGATGCTGAATATCAAAATTAGTCCTTGCCTATAAACCAGCTGGAAGTTCACCAGCATTGGCTCAAGAAAAGCCTGACTCTGCTGCTGCTGCTGATGAGATAATGCATTTCGAAACCTGTCCAAGAGTATACCAGTCTTAAACAAACGCTGCTGAAAGAATTCACTCCCATGAGGGCCACGTTACAGGTGGGATGTGTGATGATGAGATGTTGAATGTCACTGGCATTGATTGTGACCCCGTGACCTCCCGCAGCTGTGTTTCTGGGCACCGCGGTGGCTAGGAGATGTTAACTACATCGCCTGGTATACAGGATGTCGTGGGTTCGATCCCGACTTTGACGCCTTGCTGTATATTTGGAGTTTGCGTGTTCTCCTCGTGGTGGTCGCGTCAATTTTTCTCCACGTCCCCTGGTTTTTCCCTCCACATTTGGAATCAACACTGCTATAAATTTCCACTTTGTCGAGCAATTATTTGTGGCCAGGTCGCTTCTGAAAAAGAGCTTTACAGTTACTCTTTGGGTCTTTCGGTAAAGTCACGTAGATAGGTTCAAAGAAAATAACAAAAAAACTACGACGTTTCAATCGCAACACAAGCGGTCGTCATCAGGAGGAAAAAAAAAGAGAGGAAAGCTGCTGAAGCAGACTGCCTCGTAGTGTTTTGTTATACTGGTAGGAAGCACCTGGTTCCACCAGCCCACAGGGGATTATTGTGTCCGTCCATCCGTCGTGCATCCAAAAATGGGAGGGGTCGGGCTGGGTGGAGAGGAGCTGGGTGGGGAGGGTGGGAGGGGTGAGGCTGGGTGGGGAGGGGCTGGTCACCCCGTGGTGCCCTTATAAAACTCAACGTTTAACCTACTCATACCGGCTTGTGCCCAGCCTCACAGTCAGGCATATTTGTGGAATACACCACGCCGCCGTTGACCCTGCAGGCCATTGACCGAGCAACCCAACGTTCCTACCAGCTCCCTCCGCAGTACAATGTGTTTTGTTGTTTTCTTTGAACCTATCTACATGACTTTACCGAAAAACCCAAAGAATATTAATTCCTGCAGTCACGAAAGCTTTACGTCAAGATTTTGCTCTATAGCCCAGTGGGCTTTACCTGCTAAAATCAAAAATGTTTAGTTAATAGTTAGTTAATGAAGGCTGTGTAGGAGACCCTGAGCCAAACCTGCTATTCACCTGGGTCGGCAACAATATTTAGAATCAACGTGCGTAGATACTATTCAGGCGCAATAACATTTCCAAGCGATGATGAGCCACTTCGTTGAGCCATCATTTGTGACGACCAGGCCGCTTCTGAAGAAGAGCTACACAGCTCAGTGGGCCACACCTGGTAAAATAAAAAATAGTTTCGTTTCATTTTCTCCTAAAGCTCTCGACCACACCCCTGGGAGTCCCGCCCCCCCCCCGGTCCCTCTACCCCCCCGTGCCCCCCCTTCCCCCCCCACGCACCTGGCTCTTACTGCACCGCTTGAGGATCTCGTCCACCGGCCCCACGGCGTCCACCAGCTGCTCCACCTTGATGCAGTTGCGGAGGATGAGTGCGGCGCCCGACGTGGCGGCCGCCATCACGATGCCGGGCGAGTCCAGCAGACGCACGTGCTTGTCCAGGTGAACCTCCTGCACGCACCTGATAGTGGAAAAGAGGGGGGGGGGCAGATTGGGGCGGAGGGTGGAGGTGGGGGGTCACGCGCGAGGTCAAGAGGCAATGCTCGCGGCCGCTGGTGCTTGACGTATATGCGTCAGTCCGTGCACCAGTCCGGGCGTCAGTCCGTGCGTCAGCCCGTGCGCCAGCCCGTGCGTCAGTCCGTGTGTCAGTCCGTGTGTCAGTCCGTGTGTCAGTCCGTGTGTCAGTCCGTGTGTCAGTCCGTGTGTCAGTCCGTGTGTCAGTCCGTGTGTCAGTCCGTGCGTCAGTCCGTGCGTCGGTCCGTGCACCGGTCCGTGCGTCTGTTCGTGCGTCTGTTCGTGCGTCAGTCCGTGCGTCAGTCCGTGCGTCAGTCCGTGCGCCAGTCCGTGCGCCAGTCCGTGCGCCAGTCCGTGGGTCAGTCCGTGCGTCAGTCCGTGCGTCAGTCCGTGCGTCAGTCCGTGCGTCAGCCGGTGCGCAATCCGTGCGCCAGTCCGTGCGCCAGTCTGTGCGCCAGGCCGTGCGCCAGTCCGTGCGCCAGTCCGTGCGCCAGTCCGTGCGCCAGTCCGTGCGCCAGTCCGTGCGCCAGTCCGTGCGCCAGTCCGTGCGCCAGTCCGTGCGTCTGTGCGAGTGTCTTGTATGTCTGAGTCAGTGTCTGAATCAGTGTCTTTGAGTGTCTTGTTGTGTGTGTCTTGTGTCTCTGTTGTGAGTGTCTGTACGAGTGTCTGTATGAGTGTCTGTGCGCATGTGCGTTTTGTCTTAAATGGTGCAGTGTGTAAACATTGCCACGAGGGAGATAAAGGCGGCCGGGCGTAGTGGGGGCCACCCACCCCTTCAAGTGCCTTGTCGACCTTCATAGGTGCTACTAGCTAACAGCACCTGCCCTGAAAAGTCTGTTAACTCTATACGGGGGAACTTTGTCTTTGTCTTGTGTCTACCAATATGAATGTCTCTGTCTCTGTGAGTGTCTGAGTGTCTGTGAGAGTGTGCCGGGCGTCTGTCTGTCAGAAGCTATCAGACAGAACAATCGCCATTTGGCACGAAGTGGTGGTGATGTCACCACGGCGCCTGTGCTAGGCCTGGTGAACTTTGAGGCCTTGTGGAGTGTTGAAGGCTCGCTGACAGGAGGTCACAGGACAAACCCAGTTACCATGGGTTGACTGAATGAGATGACCGGCAGATGCACCACCTGTGCCCACTACTGTGCCACCTTGTTGTGTTTTAGCCGCCCAGCGATCTGCTAATTGTTGTGAGCGTCGCTCCTCTGCCCTTCGCTGTTGTTCCCTCCCCAGTACCATCCTTCACGACCCTCCTCCACAGAGGCCGATCTTAACTATAAAACTATTGTTATATTACCAGCTAAGGCTCACTGAGCTACATAGCTCTTTCCAGAAGTGACCTGGCCACAAATGATAGCTCAACAAAGTGTCTTATCACCATGCGGAAATGTATTGCAGCCAAAAACTCTAAACGCGTGTTTATTCTAAATGTGGAGGGAAAAACTGGAGGACCGGGAGAAAAATTCACGCGGCCACGGACAGAACATGCAAACTCCAAATATACAGGTGGCAGGGTCGGGATCAAAGCCACAACCTCCTGTATACCAGGCGAGGTAGTTAACATCTCAACACCGTGGCGCCCCACTGGTGGCAGTCAATAGTAAGTCCACTCAGCTCCATATCCTTCCTTCTCACTCACACTCGCTCACTCACACTCGCTCACTCACTCTCACGAACGACACAACCGGTCGATTGAGCAACGGTGGACATGTTCTTTAGCCAAGTGCCACCAGGGGGGTTAGCCTGGCAAGTTACTTGGTGACCTCCGGTGTGGTGGTGTCACCGGTGGCGGCACGGTGTGGGTGACATACTTGGTGACCCCCGGCGTGGCTCCAACGGTGCATGCTCGCGAGCGCTTGAGGCTGTTGATGAGGCTGCTCTTGCCAACGTTGGGGAAACCTGAGGACGGCAGCAGCCAAAGTTCCACACCCGTCACAAACGTTGCCCCGAGCGGAACCTACTGCGGTCACCACTGCAAACGCCGCAACCACCGCCACCACTACCGTCACAACCGCAACCACCGCAACCAGGGCCACGACCAACAACACCACGACCAACGACACCGCAACCGCCATCGTAATCAGCACAATCAACGGTTGGAGCAGTGACATGGCCGAGCGGTGGTACGTTTCGCTGCTTGTTGTAGAGGTTCGTGGTTTCAAGCCGGCAGGCCGCCCCAGTTAATACTGCGGCACGCTGCATTGACCATACAATTGGAGGCGCCGTCCGCTTGACTCACGGTGAACATTCAAGATGCCGTGAAGTCATTCTAACGGAGAGTAGCGGGCCATTGTGGGCCAGCGACACAGTCCGATTGTGCAATTTATTTTTAAAATCACACCGCAAATTACTTAAACGAGACGCACGCAGGAAATCAGCCACCATCGACACTCATCGATTTGCCGCTCACCCACCCTTGCTCCCACACCCACCCGTGTCACCCACCCAGGCCCACTCATCCACCCAGACCGACCCGTGTCACCCCACCCAGGCCCCTGGGTCACCCACTGACTTCCCACTCACCTCTCCACCCACCCTCTGTTACCCAGCTGTGTCACCCTTCTAGGACCCACTCAGCCACCAACTTTCCACTCACCTACCCACCCAGGCCCACACACCCACCCACCGTACCACGCCCAACAGTGTCACCCACCCAGGCCCACATACCCACCCACCTTCCTACACCCAGCTGAGTCACCCACCCAGGTCCACACAACTGTAGTGGTGGTATTGATGTGCGCCGACAGTGATGGATCACGGGGCGCGGGGTTGGGCACGCGATGTGGGCGTGGCATGGACGCGCGCGCCGGTGGTAAGGCGCGCTCACACAAGCTGGGAAAAGAGGATCGTAGCGAGTGCGCAGTGATTGGTCAGATAGGTGGGTGCTCTCAGCGACGTCCGCAGGAGGAGTATAAAGGGAGACGCGCGAGAGCACTCGTGGTCAGTGTTAACCAGTTGAAGACCGAAGACGGGGTGGAGGAGGTAGTGGCCCGAGACCCCTAGTCCCGCCGTCCTTGTAGGGACCGGGGCCCTGTGTGGCTCGGAGCCGAGACTGGGGGGACCGTAGTCCGACGCCCGTGTGGGTCGGGACGGTGGTACCCAGAGCCGAGACGGGCACCCCGGCTGGGTGTGTCCCGGAAGGCTACGGGGCGTAAGAGCCCGTGTCAGTACAGCTGAGTGGGTGTTGGTCACCCGAGTAGCTGAGTGGGTGTTGGTCACCCGAGTATAGCTGAGTGGGTGTTGGTCACCCGAGTATAGCTGAGTGGGTGTTGGTCACCCGAGTAGCTGAGTGGGTGTTGGTCACCCGTGTAGCTGAGTGGGTGTCCGTCACCCGTGTAGCTGAGTGGGTGTCCGTCACCCGTGTAGCTGAGTGGGTGTTAGTCACCCGTGTAACGAAGTAGGGTGTTAGTCACCCGTGTAACGGAGTAGGGTGTTAGTCATCCGTGTAACTACAAGTTGGTGAAATAAAGAGTGTGCTACCCGTGAAGTCGTCTCCTGCCGAGTTACTACTTTACAACTGGCGTCAGAAGTAAACCTGTCTTCAAGGAGAATGGACACAAGGAAGACTTCTCGTTCCCACGTGCAAGACCGGGGAGACGACGACGTACCGGTGACACCACCCTCGGGAGGAGAGGACGAGGAGTTGCCGCCGATGCAGCAATTCGCGGAAATGGCCGATGCTCCGCCCGCCTCCGACACCAGCCTGCAGGACGCACACTCCCGCCTGGCGGAGTTGCTGCTCGTCGCCGCTGCGATCTTGGCGGAGATCTCCATTCCAGCGGCCGGTGGAACGCCTGCGGGGTTGGAAGAGGCGGCGCGGCTGGAGGGTTCCCGCCATAAGGCGTTTCGCGCCAAAAGTTTTGGAGTTGGCGCCATTTTTGAGGGTCCGCCTCCGGTTGGCGGGAAACGCGGACACCACGTGGCCAGAGGTCTCCACACAGCGCAGCCCGCGTCATCGGCGAGCGCCGGAGCTCTCCATTTTGCGCCTGCAGACGGAGCCGACATTTTCTACAACCACAGCGGCGCGCGGGAAAATCGTTCCAACGACGACGACGACGATCGAGTTCTCCAGCAACGATTGCCCGCGCTGTCGGTGTTCAAGGCGGACGGGGGCGACTGGGGAGCCTTCCAGCGACGGTTCATCGCGCATCAAGAAATGTCGGGGTGGTCCGACACCACTGCCCTGCGCGCGCTGCCAGCGATGCTCGACGACGACGCGCTTGCGGCCTTCACGTCTGCCCCGAGGTCGTCCCGCTCAACGCTCCAGGCCGCGCTGCACCTGTTGGCCAAGGTGTTCGGGCCGCCCTCGACCTGTCGCCACCAGTTCTACGATCGGCGGAAGGTGGTTGGAGAAACAACGCTCGCCTATCGCACGGCGCTGCTCGCCCTGGCGGACTCAGCTTTTCCCCGCATGGACAAGGAGGGGAAGGACGCCATGGTGACGGAGCAGCTGCTGGCGCTGGCTCACGGATTGGGAGTTCCCATTAATACGGCGGACGAAATGGACATCTGCTCCCTGGGGATTGCCACGAGTATCCACGCTTACGAGGTCCTACAGCGGAAGCCGACGGTCGTCTGCGCATCGGTGGAGAACGGGGCACCGGCCGCCACGATCATCGGACCTCAGCCTGCTGTGCCTCGGGAGGAGGCCTTCGCTGGTTCAAGGCCGGGGGAGTGGAGAACGGGAGGTCGTTCGCCCACACGCTCCTCCCGCAAGCTGGAGCAACCGAAACCTACGACGTCCCTCGTCGTCTGCTACAACTGCGGCCTTCGGGGCCACGTCGCGTCCGGGTGCCGGGCCCCGCGTCAACGCACCGCGGGACCACGTCCGGACGACGACCAGGGCCTCAAGGCATCCCAACTGAACCCGGCAAGTCGCGGCACCTCACACGTTCGGTCCACACGCACGGCACGTTCGGGTCGCCGCTTAGCGGTGGGGGGACCGTGTATGGGCACCGGGGGTTCGGTTCGGCGAGAGGGGTCCGCGTACGGCCCGAAGGCAGTCGAGTGGTCCGAATTGGCCCACAGGATTGTGGCTGCGTCGGCCGGGTCGTCCGTGGTAACGGGGTACATTGACGGGGTTGAGGTCCGGGTGCTCGTGGACACGGGTGCGTCGGCCACTATTATTTCGGACCTTATTTATAATATTCTTCCCGTCCAATGTCGACCACTTCTGCCGGTGGACGTACCATTTTACGCGGCGAACGGGGGATCTTTGGGAATCATCGGCCAGATTCGGGCGAATATTTGTATTGGCGACATTAAATTGGCGGGTCCTATTTTTGTATCATCATCGTTGGCCGTTCCTTGTTTACTAGGCACGGACTTTCTGTCTAAAATGCCCATCAAAATTCTCATAGACCAGGCCTGCATTGAGCTTCCGTCGGGTCGGCGGGTTGAGTTTTTGAAGAGTCCAAATAAGATACGCACGGCTTGTGCGACGGTGCAGGCGCTGGCAACCCGGACTGTACGGGTGCCCCCGGGATCGCAAATGTTGGTACCCCTTCGGTTGAGAAAACCCCTTGGGGCGGATGCGGGGGCACAGGGAGTTCTATTGGGGCCGTCTAACAGGGCTAAAGGGGACCTCGACTTAGCGGTGGCCCAGACCATGGTGAGGGGGGACAGTGAGCCGTTCGTTGTGGTCCTGAATACGGGGTCGCGGCCGGCCGTGATTACGCAGGGAACGGTGCTCGCTCACGCCGCGCCGCTACCCGTCGAGGAACAGCTCGTTGCTCACGCCGATTCAAATGTCGATACGCATCCCCAAAGTGAAGAGGGGACGGAGTGGTTGGACTCGTTGTGTGCCGGGTCCAGTACCTTGTCCAGTGTGCAGTTGGGTGCATTGAGGGGCTTGCTGCTCGAGTTCGCTGACGTGTTTAGCAGGCACAAGTACGACATTGGCTGCACAGACCTGTTGCGCCACCACAGAGACTGGGGACGCGGCCCCTATTCGACAGAATCCCTTCCGGCTCAGTCCAGCCGAGAAGGAGCATGTGCAGTCGGCAGTAAATGACATGTTGGCGGCCGACATCATTGCGCCCTCTTCCAGTCCGTGGGGTGCTCCTATCGTCTTGGTTAAAAAACAGGATGGATCCCTGCGGTTCTGTGTCGATTTCCGCCGCCTAAACAAAATATCAATGGCCGATGCGTATCCGCTCCCCAGGATGGATGAGTCGCTGGATGCCTTGGCAGGAGCACAGTTTTTTTCGACGCTCGATTTGCTTTCGGGATTTTGGCAATTGCCCCTCGATGACGAATCAAAACCTAAAACCGCTTTCCGGACACCGGGAGGCCTATTTGAGTTCAACCGATTGCCCATGGGTTTACATTCCGCTCCTGCCACGTTCCAGAGGCTCATGGAATTGGTTTTGTCAGGCCTTCAATGGGACACCTGTTTGATTTACCTCGATGATATCATCGTTTTCAGCCGAACTTTTGAGGAGCACCTCCAGCGACTGAGAGCAGTGTTTCTCAGGATGCGTTCCGCGAAGCTAAAATTTAAACCGGCTAAATGTTTTCTGCTTCGGGAATCGGTCAGGTATTTGGGCCATATCGTTAGCCGTTCGGGGATCTCGACGAACCCTGCTAAGACGCAATGCGTCGGCTCATGGCCAACACCGACCTCTGTTACTGAAGTCCGCAGCTTCATAGGATTTGCCTCCTATTACCGTCGTTTTGTCAAGCAGTTTGCCACCATAGCCAGGCCCCTGCACGCTTTGACGGCTAAAGGGGTGCGGTTTCACTGGGGGCCGGAGGAGGAGGCCGCGTTCTGCTCCCTTCGTGACGCCTTGGTGCAGGCTCCCCCCTTGTGTTACCCCGATTTCACGCAACCGTTTGTGCTCGACACGGATGCCAGTAACACGGGTATCGGGGGAGTGCTCTCACAGGTGGTCGGGGGGGTCGAACGGGTGGTCGCCTACGGTAGCAGGGTTCTGTCCCCCGCGGAACAACGCTACTGCGTGACACGGCGTGAATTGCTGGCGATTGTGTTTTTTATACAGCAATTCAGGCCGTATCTGTATGGCCGTCACTTTACGGTTCGCACGGACCATGCGGCTCTCCAATACGCTATGCGGGTGGCGCAGCCATCCGGCCAATTGTCCCGATGGTTGGAGGTCCTTCAGGACTACCAATTCACGACGATTTACCGCAAGGGGTTGCGCCACTCGAATGCGGATGCATTGTCACGGTTGCCGACGCGTACGGAATGCGCATGTCAGTTAGGATCGGCGCGGTGTAAACCCTCTGTCGATGTCCCCGCGGAAGTGGTGCTAGCCGCCACGGATACTACGGGGGTCGACGCCCCCACGGGGAGGGACTCGCTGTTAGCATTGCCTCTCATCGAGTGGGGCCGTCTGCAAATGGCCGACAGCTCCCTACTCGCGCTACGTCGGAAGGTTAACGTTCCCGAGGGCGGGGAAACGCGGGTCGGTTCCTGGGTGTGCAGACAAGGCCTCTTGATGAAGTGGGACTCCATGTCCCGGCGTCACATGCTTGTGGTGCCGGTTGCTGTACGGGGTAAGGTCGTCCTGGCTGCCCATGAACGACTCATGCATCTGGGGTTTCACAAAACACTCGCCCTCATTCAGCGAGACTACTATTGGCCTGGGATGGGCAATGACGTGGCGAACATTCTTAAGGGGTGTGTAGGGTGCGCTAAAAGAAAACCGCCACCAATAGCGGCTAATCCACCGCTGCAATCCATTCAAGTTTCGCGCACGAACGAATTGGTCGCACTAGACATCTTGGGGCCCTTTCCCACTACACCTCGGGGAAATAAGTTTCTGCTGGTTGGCGTAGAGTACTTCACCCGCTGGCCCATGGCGTGGCCACTCGCCAACCAGTCGGCTGCGGCAGTGGCGGACGCCTTTGTCCAAGGTTACGTTTTGGACAAAGGCGCCCCCGAACGCTTGCTGACGGATCAGGGGAAAAACTTTTCGAGTGTTTTGTTGCGCGAGGTGTGCGACCTGTTGGGTACAAAGAAAGTACGTACCTCCCCGTACCACCCGCAGACTGACGGTATGGTTGAACGTCTGAACAGGACGATTACGTCTATGCTGTGCCAACAGGTATGCGACGACCAGGTGGATTGGGACTTACAGGTACCGGGGGTACTAGCGGCCTATCGGATGGCACCCCATGTGGCGACGGGGTTTTCTCCATTTTTTCTGATGTATGGGCGGGAGGCTGATCCGGCCATGGACGTCCAACTGGGGATTTCACAGCCACGTGCAAAATCTAAATTGGCAGACCATATTAAGTTTAACATCGCCAAATTGGCTGAGGCGCGAGAGGCTGCGAGATTGAATTCACGCTCTCGGCAGATCGCGAACGAGCGATTGCATGAACGGAAGGTGCATACGCACAATTGGGAACCGGGCGATAAGGCCTGGCTGCATTGTCCACACGCACCGTTGGCTACGTCCCCCAAACTGTTGAGACCATGGAGGGGACCGGTGGAAATTGTGCGGGTTGCACGACCCCAGAGTATACAGATTAAATGGGGAAAACGCCGTTGGTACGTGCACCCCTCCCGACTGAAACCCTACGCGGCGCCGCGTGACCCCGGGTTGTGCCGTGACGACCGAGCGTGTGATGTGACCGTCGACTCGGGGAGGGATGTGTCGCAGGCTGATCCTCACGTGTCTCCACCTGACCCACCCCCAGGTGTCTCGGACCTGACGGCTGTTGACCGTCGGGAACCGGAACCCCGCGGCTCACGCGGAGCCCCGATGCCTGGCCCATGCCTTCCTGAACTGCCGGCGCCGCCGGATGGCCAACTGCGTCCTGTGCCGTACGACGGTCCGGCAAGGCGGACTCGGGCAAGGACGCGACACTTTTCATGAAAAAAAAAAATATTTTTTTTTCTTTTTTTTTGTTAAAGCCCGACCTCGTTGCCGGCTTCCCCCTCTGCCGGGGTAATGTCCCGTTCAAGGGACGCTCGGACACATTGGGACGCTGCATGAGTCGGATAGAAAAGAAGAGAAAATGAATAAAGAAATTTTTTTTTATTGTTATTCTTTCCGCATACACAGTATCGTTGCCACTCGCCGGATTGTGCATGTTGTTCTTGTTGTGGGTGTGGCGGTTGCTGGGTTTTGCGGATTGCGGTGTTCATGTTGTGTTGTTAGGGTTTGTTGTTATGTTACGGGGCACACATGGGGGTGAAGGGGTGTTGTATGTTTTATTAGCAGCCGGGTCGGCTGCGAGCTATGTGGTAGGGGGTGATGTAGTGGTGGTATTGATGTGCGCCGACAGTGATGGATCACGGGGCGCGGGGTTGGGCACGCGATGTGGGCGTGGCATGGACGCGCGCGCCGGTGGTAAGGCGCGCTCACACAAGCTGGGAAAAGAGGATCGTAGCGAGTGCGCAGTGATTGGTCAGATAAGTGGGTGCTCTCAGCGACGTCCGCAGGAGGAGTATAAAGGGAGACGCGCGAGAGCACTCGTGGTCAGTGTTAACCAGTTGAAGACCGAAGACGGGGTGGAGGAGGTAGTGGCCCGAGACCCCTAGTCCCGCCGTCCTTGTAGGGACCGGGGCCCTGTGTGGCTCGGAGCCGAGACTGGGGGGACCGTAGTCCGACGCCCGTGTGGGTCGGGACGGTGGTACCCAGAGCCGAGACGGACACCCCGGCTGGGTGTGTCCCGGAAGGCTACGGGGCGTAAGAGCCCGTGTCAGTACAGCTGAGTGGGTGTTGGTCACCCGAGTAGCTGAGTGGGTGTTGGTCACCCGAGTATAGCTGAGTGGGTGTTGGTCACCCGAGTATAGCTGAGTGGGTGTTGGTCACCCGAGTAGCTGAGTGGGTGTTGGTCACCCGTGTAGCTGAGTGGGTGTCCGTCACCCGTGTAGCTGAGTGGGTGTCCGTCACCCGTGTAGCTAAGTGGGTGTTAGTCACCCGTGTAACGAAGTAGGGTGTTAGTCACCCGTGTAACGGAGTAGGGTGTTAGTCATCCGTGTAACTACAAGTTGGTGAAATAAAGAGTGTGCTACCCGTGAAGTCGTCTCCTGCCGAGTTACTACTTTACACAACCACCCACCCACCCATGTCCACCCTTGACACCCACCCAGGCCCACACACCCACCCACCCTCCTACACCCAGCTGCGTCACCCACCCAGGTCCACACACCCACCCACCCTCCTACACCCAGCTGCGTCACCCACCCAGGCCCACACACCCACCCACCCACCCTCCTACACCCAGCTGCGTCACCCACCCAGGCCCACACACCCACCCACCGTACCACGCCCACCACTCACCGACCACGCCCACAGAGATGGACGTGCGGATGTCCCGGTTGCGGCAGTAGTTGCCCAGCAGCCGCATGAGCCCCTCTGCGCCCACGCACGCCGACGAGCCGAGCAGGTCGGCGGTCGCACGGCCCAGTGGCACCCTGCTGCGATGCTGCGTCACAACGTCGCGTGCACAACAACAACAGCTAAGTGGAGGTGATGTCACCACGGTGCCTATGCCAGGCCAGGTGCACTTTGAGGCCACGTCTCGAAGGCTCGCCGACAGGTCACGGGACAGACTCAGGTGGTGCCATGGGTTGACTGAGATGACTGGCAGATGCACAACCTGTGCCCCCTACTGTGCCAACTGTCACGCACACACACAAACACAAAGATCCCCTGTGTAGCCTTAGACTGGTGGTGCAAGTGCTGTTAGCGAGTAGCATCTATGAAGGACGGCACGCCACACGAGGGGGTGGGTGGCCAGCACCGCGCCGACCGGCTCTCTCTCCCCAGTGGTGATGTTAACACACCGCACCAGGTACACATTTTAAGGCTGAGTCGACCTAGGGGAGGCCAGTTCAGATATTCGTCACAGACTCTTGCCGTAGGCGTGAGAGTTGAATTTGGATCGCCGGGTTCGTAGCGCAGTGCGCTAACCGCCAGATTACGGCTCCCATACACACGGATACACAAACACACGCATATACATACCATATATATTCACAACACAGAAACGTACACGCACACACACTCACACGGGTCTCACACATACAGAGACAAGGGAGCAATAGCTGGCATACATCATGGGGGTGTAAGGCTCAGGATAGGAGCCTGGATGAATCAGGGGTTAGTCAGGAAAAAAACCCGAATGAATGACTCATGAGGTGTACGGTTACAATAGGAGCCTGCATGAATGAACGACTGAATCGTGGGGTGTGAGGCCCGGCATGGGAAGTCTGGATGAATAACTGAACGAGAGGAGAGTGGTGGGGGGGGGGGCTCCCTTACCAGGTTCCTGCTCTGCTGCTGTGTGGAGGATTTGAAGGCAACGGTGGGGAACTCGTTCCGGAGATACTTCAGCCACTTCTCGACCACGTCCTTTGGGACAAGGTCTGTAAACACAAAGATCCGACATGTAGCCTTGAACAGACTGTCGGGGCAAGTGCTGTAAGCGAGTAGCACCCAACCAAATAAACAACCTCTATTATGAGCACCTATGAAGGCCAGCAAGGGACGTGATTCGTGAAGTGATGGTGTGGGTCATCACCACGCCCTGCCGCCTTTGTCTTTCCGACGCTCATGTTTACACACAACGCTCCAAGCACTCTTTTAAACAATTAAAAATAAACTCCTAAACTAAAATGTATTCTACCAGCTAAGGCCCAATGAGCTATGGAGCTATTTTAAGAAGCGGCCTGGCCACAATTGATAACTTAACAAAGTGGCTTATCGTGTGGGAAGTTATAGCGACCAAATACTCCCATTTAAGGCAGAATCGACCTAGGAGAGGCCTAGGACTGGTTCAGATGATCACCACTGATGTTGGCCATCAGTGGGAATCATACTCAGATCACAGAGTTCATAGCACAGCATGCCAGCCGCTATGCCACAGCACCCCACACATAAAGATAAAGATCCCCCGTGTAACCTTTAACAGGCTGTTGGGGAAAGTGCCGTTAGTGAGCACCTATGAAGGCCGGCACGGCACACGAGGAGGTGGGTGGCCAGCACCACGCCTAGCCACCTTTGTCTCCCGAGTTGCGATGTTTACACATCGCACCAGGTACTCATTTGAGGCTGAGTCGACCTAGGGGAGACCCAGGACCGATTCAGATAATAATCGTCACTGGTGTTGGCCGTGAGTAGCAATTTAACTCCGGTCACCAGGGTTCGTATTGCATGTGCTAACCACTAAACCACTACTTCCCATGGAACTTTGTGTTTACAGGCCTTGCACAAATATCACCAAAACCGCCACCATCGTTACAAAAAACATTATCATCATCATCACCAGATGCGCGAATGCACACACATGCACGCACGCACACACACGCACACAAGCACACACACACAGATTCCCCATGTAGCCTTAACAGTCTGTACGAGTAAGTACTTTTAGCGAGCCCCTATGAAGGCCAGCATGGCACACTAGGGGGTGGGTGGCCAGCACCACGCCCGGCCACAATTGTCTCCCTAGTGATGATGTTTACACAGCTCAGCAGGTACTCATTTAAGGCTGAGTAGACCTAGTGGAGGCCCAGGAGCCGTTTATATAATTGTCACTGGTGTTGGTCGTCAGTGGGAATCGAACACAGGTCGCCGGGTTCGTAGAACAGCGCGCTAACCACTAAACTACCGCACCCGCACGCACATACGCACACGCACGCACCCACACGCACGCACGCACCCGCACGCACACACGCACCCACACGCACGCACCCGCACGCACCCGCACACACGCACGCACCCGCACACACGCACGCACCCGCACACACGCACCCATGCATCCCCACACACACACGCATGCGCAACACGGTGACTGCGCCCCAGCGTGCCCCCCCGGTGCCCGCGTGACCGCGCACCGATCTTGCTGAGCACCAACACGATGCGTTTGCCGGTCCCGCCCTCCATCACCGCCTGCTCCACCTGGGGGCAGCGGCAGCCCAGAGGATCTCGCGCGTCCAGAACCTCCAGCACCACGTCGGCCGCCTCCACCACCTGCCGCCCGCCGCCACCACCACACCACCACCGTTATTATCACCATCACCACCACTGCCACCGTTATCGTCACCACCACCGCCGTTACCATCACCACCACCACCACCACCGTTATACCATCAACACCACCGCCACCGTTATCGTCACCACCACCACCGTTACCATCACCACCACCGTTATCATCACCACCACTGCCACCATTATCGTCACCACCACCACCGTTACCATCACCACCACCGCCGTTACCATCACCACCACCACCGCCGTTACCATCACCACCACTGCCACCGTTATCGTCACCACCACCACCGTTACCATCACCACCACTGCCACCGTTATCGTCACCACCACCACCGTTACCATCACCATCACCACTGCCGCCACCACCGCTATCATCACAGCCACCATTACATCACCGCTATGGTCAGGACAATCACCACTACGACCAGCACCACCACGGTCACCAACATTATCCCCACCGCCACTATCATCACCATTACTGCCGCTAGCACCATAACCACGAAGGCCACCACGATCACCAACGCAGTCAACACCACCACCGCAATCATCAGCACCATTATCGCTGTCACCACCGCAACCATCATCACCACCACCAACCATCACTACTGCTACCATCATCACCACCACCACCAACCACCACCACCGCAACCATCATCACCACCAACCATCACTACTGCTGCCATCACCATCACCACCGCAACCATCACTACTGCTGCCATCACCACCACCACCGCAACCATTATCACCACCACCAACCATCACTACTGCTGCCATCATCACCACCACCACCAACCATCACTACTGCTACCACCATCACCGCAACCATTATCACCACCACCAACCATCACTGCTGCTACCATCATCACCGCAACCATTATCAGCACCACCAACTAGCACTACTGTTGCCATCATCACCACCACCGCCACCGACAATCACTGCCGCCATCGTCAGCCGCCGGAACCATCAGCACTTCCGGCGGCACCATCACTGCTGCCGCCACCACCGTCATCATCATCAACGCCTCCATCACCACCACCAGCAGCACCCTTGCACATCCCTTACGGGGAGCACCGGTGGATGTGTGAAAGGGGTGGGGGGGGCACTCGCACCTTGCGGAACTCGCGGTAGTACGCCTTGCGCGAGCCATCGCTCTCCAGGAAGCAGCTGCTCTCCAAGCTCCGCATGGTCACCTCCTGCAGCTCCACCCACGGGGGGGAGGGAGGGTGGGGGAGGGAGGTGAGGTGAGGAAAGGGAGGAAGGTGAGGAGAGGAGGGAGGTGGGAGAGGGAGGGAGGTGAGTAGAGGGAAGGAGGTGAGGAGAGGGAGGGAGGGGAAGAAAGGGAGGGGAGTGAGGTGAGGGGAGTGAGGTGAGGGGAGTGAGGTGAGGGGAGTGAGGAAAAGGAGGGGAAGAAAGGGAGGGAGGTGAGGGGAGGGAGGGATTATTTGTTATTGCTTTATTGGCACCCCAAGTCCCCCCTTGAATAAGAGATGTAAGCTAGCTCTATCTTCATTAGTCACTGAGCACTGGGCCCAAAGGCCCTCAACGTTATGCGGCCAGCGACAAAGAGCACCGTCAGCGTTTTAATAGATAACAAGAGTGTGGCGTGCGTCTTGAACTGAGCAAGGTTTGTTGTTGTTGGAAGCACTTTTTGGAGACAAGAGACGATGGTGGTGATGATGGGAGGAGGGAATTTAAGAGTGCAGCAGTGCGATGGGAGCAGAGGGAGAAGTAAGCTGCCCTGCAGTGTGGCGAGGGGGAGTGAGTGGGTGGGTGAGAGGGTGAGTAGTTGAGTGGATGAAAGGTTCATGGGAACAGCGACCACGGTAGTGGCAAGCCAGTGCTGGATCACCAATCAACTTGACTGCTCTAAGACGTCTTCTTGGTTCTTTCGGTAAAGTCACGTAGAATGGAAATAATAAAATAATAAAAAATAAAACATCATAAAATTCTTTCCATTCTACGTGATGACTTTACCGAAAGAACCAAGAAGATGAATTCCCTGCAGTCACGAAAGCTTTAAATCGAAATTTGCTCTAAGACGATCGCCGTACGGTGGTGCAGTCAGTGCTACGAAACCACCACCACCACCACAACAACGACGGGCAAGGTTGTTGCAAATGCTACGGTGATACCAGCGAAGGGTGGGGGGAGGGGGGTTGGGTGGCTGGGGGAGGGGGGGCCGGGGCCAGGCGCTCACCTTGCTGTCAAACGCTCGCTGCCGCTGCTGCACGTCCTTCTGGAAGCTCTCAAGGCTGCGTCTCTTCTGCTGCTCCTTCTCCCGGGATTCCTGCTGCTTCCGCTTGCGCTCCTCGACCTAAATGGGCGCACGCGTGCAAGCGCGGGAGAGGGGGGCGCCGCAGCAGCGAGACGCTGACTACTTCCTTCGCCTGGTACACACAAGAGCTCGTGGGTTCGATCGCGACCCTGACGCCTGTTGGATATTTGGAGTTTGCGTGTCTCTCACTCTCCCCATGGTCGCGTGGGTTTTTCTCCAGGTCCACCGGTTTTCCCCTCCACATTTAGAATTAACGTGCATTTACAGAATTTGCCTGCTAGCCACTCCATCGGGCTACCATTTGTAGCCAGATCACTTCTGGACAAAAAGCTAGATAGCTCAGTGGGTCTTACCTGGTAAAATAAAAATAGTCAATCAATAGTTAGCTCATTACGGCCATGTAGGAGACCCTAAGCCAGCAATGCTCAAGTCCCTGGGTACGGTCCCTGGGTACGATCCCTGGGGTTTGTGGGGTTTGTAAAAATTATGTAATAGAACTGGGCTGGCGCTGTGGAAAACGTGAGTTGAACCCAGACGAGCAACCTGCTATTTACCCGAGTTGGCAACAATCCTGTTTTCATTTTAAACAGGCCGTCTCCTCCAACTTCTATACACCCAAACTTTCTCACCTCTCTTATGCGCTATGATAAAGGGCCACTGGCTGCAGCAGTAACACTCAGAATGACGTCTCCTCCTTGTACGTCATCTCACAAATACATTGTCCCACTATGAACCCTTTCCCGTTCTGGGGAGAACACGAAAACTCCAAATATACAGCAAGGGCGTCAGGGTAGAGATGGAACGCACGACCTCCTGTATACCAGGCAAGGGAGTTAACATCTGACACCTCTGATTATCACGGTTGGCTACGTACGGTGAGAAAGAAGTACAACATACGGTACGTACATCTCGCCGCCGTGACGCTTCCAGATTCACTCCCAACACCAGTACTTGAGCGCGGCTTCACCACTCACCCGTTTCTCCCTCTGTTCTTGGCTCCGCTTGACGTGCTCCTTGAAGGAGCCGATGTTAGGAAGTGCGCTGCCCTTCTTGGGCTCTGCCTTGGTTTTCCCGTCATTGCCGCTCACCGCTCCGAGCTGGACAGCGAAGCGAGCGGCACGCAAGAGATGTCAAACACCGGCGCTCGGGAAACGACTTCGCTCAATCCTTAGGACTCGCTAATCGGTATAGTGCAGTATAACCGGCGACAACCAGTTTAAGTCGTATCAGCTCATATCTTGTCGTTTTAACGTCGTTGGCGTATAGGGGACATTGTGATTGGTTTAAGTCGTCGATCAGTTTCACATCGTCGACAACACTGTTTACATTCGCTTGGGAGTTGCTCGATCACTGGCTACTAACTACCGACTCACTACCAAGTTGTGTTTTTGTGTTTCTCGCGCTTTGCTCCAACGTGGCGAAGGGAATACTGTATTTTGCCGCATATAGCCGTATACGCATAAAACCCGCAAACGCATATACCCCGCAAAAACAGCGTTTTGTGTAAAACAAATTTCAGATAGCCCGCACCTCCATATACCCCGCATGCATTCATATATTTAACGTCGTTACCGCAACTTAATTCCATCATATTAATACGAAGTTTACATTTGTAATACATTCCACTATAAATTGTTAACATTAAAATCATAACGTGCACAAAGAAATCAAACTAACTGGAAACGAGTGAACTGTGTTGTCTCTCTCTCTGCTTGTGTGTCTGTCTGTGTGTCTATGTTGTGTGTCTCTGTGTGTCTCTGTGTTGTCTCTCTCTGCTTGTGTGTCTGTCTGTGTGTCTCCGTGTCTGTTTCGTCTCTCTCTCAAATTTAGTTCTACCTGATGACGACTGCTTGTGTTGCAATCGAAACGTCTTATTCTATTATTTAACTTATTTTCTTTCTACGTGACTTTACCGAAAGAACCAAAGAGTAGAACAGAGGAGGCCTTTAGGAAAATATTACACAACGCACGAAGTACATGAAGGGGTCAAACGAAATACATGCGCGTTTAACAATACAAGTGCCAACATGCCCGGAGCAAAAGGCGCCACAAAGAGGATTCGGGGACCTGGAACCCGATCCCTCGGCGATCGATTTGGTCCACCGATTAAGCACCGTTTGGCTACGTACGGTGCGAAAGAAGGCCAACATGGCACGTACATACATACACGCATTTGGGCAGCAGAGGGCAGCGCGACATATTTTCCGATTGTATCAAACAGGACTGTACGTCTATGTTCCTCGCATTCACCCGATCGTATCCGCCCTGCGCGGTGAAGTATGGTCAAACAGCCCAACACGACTGACGCAGTGGGAAGCGACCTCTTCATCCAGCAGTGGGTCCCGTAAAGGGCTGTAACATTTGTAAACTTTAAAAGTGATCCTAAATTAATGCTCTCTTCGGCTCGAGTTAACCTAGCTGTCGACCGAAATGTATGCTCATTTCAGGCCGAGTAGACCTAGAGAAGTCCCAATGCAGCCCGTCAGCTCTTTCGGTAAAGTCACGTAGGTATAAAATAAAGAAATATAAAATCACGACGTTTCGATTGCAACACAAGCAATCATCAATCATGATCATCATCAAATGTTCTTGCTGTGGTTTTCACACCTGATGATGATTGCTTGTGTTACAATCGAAACGTCGTGAGAATTTTATTGTTTTAAATTTTTATTATGTTATTGTTTCCCTTCTACGTGACTTTACCAAAAGAACCAAAGAATATGGGTCTCTGCAGTCACGAAAACTTAAAATCGAGATTCGCCCATCAGCGAAAACGCAGTGAGGCCTATTGTAAAACCGGGAGGCCTTACGGCTTTCCTAGTCCCTGCTGCGGCAAAAGGGGCCTCGAGCCCGGTAGGCGAGACGCTACTCACGTGCTTGGCGATGCGCAGCCGCTTGTGATTGGCCACGTGCTTCCCTCCCTTCTTTTGTTCTAAGACAACAACAAAAATACACTTTAGACAATTACTCCGGTCGCCTTGCAAAGTGAAACATTTTTTATCAGGAGTGTAAAACAGTTTTAAGTTTAGATAGAGTTTTTACTGCGCGTCATGTTGTACACGTGCTGGGGTGGTACGGCTGCCGTAAATCAAAAAGACTTTTAAAAGTCGTAAAATTGTCGTAAAATATCTTCCACGATGCTTGGAAGAGAAATAAAACGCTGCCACTTCTCCCAGAAGATGCCACCGACGGTCCGTAGATGTTTTCCAGAAGAATGTTTCCCGTTTTTTTTGTGACGTACCGGCGAAGGTCTACATCTTCCGGCAGAGAGATAACATTTTTTTACAGTTCAAAAAGACTAATTATTGAACACGGAACGAGCCCAAATATTTTTTAATTTTTCTTTGACACGACGATGGATTTGTCTGGGATTTAAAAGCACAAAAAATAGAGCCCGCTGCCGTGTCTTTGTCACCACAATGCCGTGACTCGGATTCGAACCGAGGTTGCTGCGGCCACAACGCAGAGTACTAACCACTATACGATCACGGCGAGCTACGCGGGCTCGCGATCACGGGGGCGCCGGGAGCCCCTCTTATAGCCGGGACCCCGCTAGACACGTGGTGCCCGGTGCAGTCACCCAGACCACGTGGAGCCCGTGGGGCGATAGAGGGCGAAGACGGTGGTCGGGTGGTTGGGGAATATTTAGTTAGAATTTATACTGGTAGGATTATTGTGTCAGTCCGTCGTGCATCCAAAAATGGGTGGGGCTGGGTGGAGAGGGGAGGGTGGGGAGGGGCTGGGAGGGGAGGGTGGGGCTGGGTGGAGAGGGGAGGGTGGGGAGGGGCTGGGAGGAGAGGGTGTGGCTGGGTGGGGGGGCTGGGTGGGGAGGGTGGCAAAGGGCTGGGTGGGGAGGGTGTGGCTGGGTGGGGCTGGGTGGGGAGGGGCTGGTCACCCCGTGGTGCCCTTATAAAACTCAACGTTTAACCTACTCACGCCGGCTTGTGCCGGCCGTCACAGTCGGGCATATTTGCGGAATACACCACGCCGCCGTTGACCCTGCAGGCCATTGACCGAGCAACCCAACGTTCCTACCAGCTCCCTCCGCAGGAATGTGTTGTTTCACCGAATGGTGAACCTTGTTTCGTACCTTCGCATCGGAAGTCTTCCTTAAAAAATATCCTGTATATATGTTTCAGGTAATTTATATTCCTTCCCTCTACTTTGCACTCCGATCGTGTTGTGTATTGCTTGTTGTGTGGAACGTTCTGAACTGCCCCGACTGGAGTCCTGTGCAAAGAGCTTTACAGCTCATCGGATTCCTCTCGAGTATAAATACATATTCTGATTATGATACTGGGTTGCAGTGGCGGCTCCTGCAAAATCTCTCAGGGGGGGCAAATGTCTGGATGATTGATAAGGACATGGTCCACCCATGCAATGGATAAATTAACAGCTTAAGCATGTAAAGGCAACTTCACTTCTTTAATATTAATGAAAAATAAAGTGACTCTTACAATACATCTTGTTTGTTTCTATACTCACTATTAAAACAAACCACTCAAGTTTATTTTATTAAAGATTCCACTAGATTTTGATTTAAAACTTTCGTGACTGCAGGGATTCATCTTCTTGGTTCTTTCGGTAAAGTCACGTAGAAGGGAAGTAATAAAATAATAAAAATAAAACATAATAAAATTATTCTCACGACGTTTCGGCCACAACGCAAGCAGCCGTCCTCAGGTGAAAACCAGGTCCGTCGAGGCGACAGAGTCTGAATGAAACAGCACACGAGCTTGGAGCATATATATATAAGCTGGGCGCCTTGACAAAGGAATTTGCATATCAAGAGGAATTTAGCATATTTATGGGAAATGCAGGAATGTGATTAGTACTGCATATGCATGTGCATTATGCAGGATTAACAGCATCAAAGGGAGCTGCAGTTGCTGCTGCTGCTGCAGTTGCTGCTGCTGCTGCAGTTGCTGCTGCTGCTGCACTTGCTGCTGCTGCAGTTGCTGCTGCTGCTGCAGTTGCTGCTGCTGCTGCAGTTATCCATTTTAATATAACACTATGTATTATTCTACCCACCCTAATGTGTATCACACTGCTATATATTTACTATACAATTACGACACCATACATTACTCTGCACACTGCACCATGCCAGTGAGTGGAACGTTGTGGCCGAAACGTCGTGAGAATAACTTGCGTTGTGGCCGAAACGTAGTGAGAATAATTTTATTATGTTTTATTTTTATTATTTTATTACTTCCCTTCTACGTGACTTTACCGAAAGAACCAAGAAGAAGATTCCACTAGGTGGCGATAAATTAAATTGTTGGATGAAACGTGCTTACGTATGAGGACGTTAGCACGTATGATGACGTAAGCACGTTAGGGCTTGCCCTCCCGGAGGCCATAGAGAATGCATTGGAGCGCCCCCGTTCGAAAAAAAACATCTTTGAATGTAAGTCTATGGGGCCACTCGGGGCGATTCTCAGCCGGAGTGAAATCGCCCCAAAAGAGGCGGTACTCCACAGAACGTGACATGACGCTGATTGGACTATATCCAGAGGCTGACATTGACGGCTAGCGTGACTCTGTGGTTCAATGACATTGGTGGTGCGTCGCCCAATCGCCCTAATGAAGAAACCGCCCCTGCTGGGTTGGCTGATGGCTCACAGACACAGAGCCGGAATATTTTTGGGAGTCTGGGTGAGAATCAGGGGCGGTTTCTTCATTAGGGCGATTGGGCGACGCACCACCAATGTCATTCAACCACAGAGTTTCGCGAGCCGTTACTGTGCCTCTGGATATAGTCCAATCAGCGTCATGTCACGTTCTGTGGAGTACCGCCTCTTTTTGGGCGATTTCACTCCGGCTGAGAATCGCCCAGAGTGTTCCCATAGACTTACATTCAAAGATGTTTTTTTTCGAACGGCGGGCGCTGCAATGCATTCTCTATGGCTTCCGGGAGGGCTCGCACTAACGTGCTTACGTCATCATACGTAAGCACGTTTCATCCAACAATATTATTTGTCGCCACCTAGTGGAATCTTTAATAAAAGAAACTAAGTGGATTGTAATAATAGTGAGTATAGAAACAAACAAGATGTATTGTAAGAGTCACTTTATTTTGCATTAATATTAAAGAAGTGAAGTTGCCTTTACATGCTTAAGCTGTTAATTTATCCATTGCATGGGTGGACCTTATCCTTATCAATCATCCAGACATTTGCCCCCCCTGAGAGATTTTGCAGGAGCCGCCACTGGTGAGAATTCGTGTCAATTATTTACAGTCAAACTTCTTTCATCCCTTAAGCATCTTAAATCTTCCTTCAAAAAATATTCCGAAGAGGAAGATCAGTGCCGGACAGATTTGTTCCGTTCAGCGTTCCCCACGCATTGCTAGTTCGATCGTGATGTGCAACTTTATTGAGGCACTGTGCGTGTCGTTGTCTTGGCATGATCCGAGACGATTTTTGCTCTTGTTTTGCCGCCTTTCCCAAGCTTGACAATTGGTGCCCTATAAGCTGGTTCCTAAGTGTGGGTGTCTGTAATTCGGGTGTTCGTAATAAATGATTATTCGCCAAAAGGTAGTGTCGCAAGCCTGTGATTCAGCACTGTGGCAGGCAGCGAGGGTTTGGTGGATCACACGAATGTTGTGAAGCCTCCTTCCCGTTGGCGTCAAGGTGCCGTATCCTGGCATTAACAAGTATAACCCGTAAAAAGAAAGTTTTTCACTATAAATCCTTTATATGCGTGGCGGCTAGAGTCCTCTCGTCCTCTGGCTTGAGATGGCTGCCACCTATGGGTCAGATGATTGCATTGCACCATTAAGCAATTCGTAATGAAATATAATATTTTTGTCCTAAAAAGTGTAAAATTTTGGAAAAAAATTTTCACGAACATTCATTGTCACACACAACGAGTATGTGTGGAAAATGTCAGCTCGATTGGATCACGGGAAGTGGGTTAAAAAACGACCGGAAGATTTGCACGGTCGTAAGCAAGCAAACGAACTTAATATAAAGGATTTAATAAGTATAACCCGTAAAAACAACGTTTTTCACTATAAATCCTTTATATACGTGGCGGCTTGAGTCCTCTCGTCCTTTGGCTTGAGATGGCTGCCACCTATGGGTCAGATGATTGCATTGCACCATTAAGCAATTGGTAATTAAATATATTTTTGTCCTAAAAAGTGTAAAATTTTGTAAAAAAAATTTCACGAACATAAATTGTCACGCACAACGAGTCTGTGTGGAAAATGTCAGCTCGATTGGATCACGGGAAGTGGGTTAAAAAACGACCGAAAGATTTGCACGGTCCTAAGCAAGCAAGCGAATTTAATATAAAGGATTTAAAAAATTAACCCGTAAAAACAAAGTTTTTCACTATAAATCCTTTATATGCGTGGCGGCTAGAGTCCTCTCGTCCTCTGGCTTGAGATGGCTGCCACCTATGGGTCAGATGATTGTCTGCAGTATTAAACAATTGGTCATTAAATATTTAATTTGTTTTCCCTAAACAGTGTAACATTTTGGAAATGTTTTGTTCACGAACATTAATTGTCTCGCACAACGAGTCTGTGTGCAAAATGTCAGCTCGATTGGATCACGGGAAGTGGGTTAAAAAACGACCGAAAGGTTTGCACGGTCGTAAGCAAGCAAGCACGCAAACTTAATATAAAGGATTTAAAAATATATTCGCCTGTGGAGGACGCGGGGATCGATCCCGCGACCTTTGGCATGGGAAGCAAGGGCGCTACCAACTGCGCTACTCCGCCACGGCCTGTGGAGGGGTTACGCTCTGGGCTCTTACACTGTGATGTTCAGCCAAAGCCATGAATGAGTTCTATTTGAATATATGTAAAATAATTTTTTTTGCCTAAAAAGTGTAAAATTTTGGGAATTTTTTTTCACGAACATTAATTGTCTCGCACAACGAGTCTGTGTGGAAAATGTCAGCTCGATTGGATCACGGGAAGTGGGTTAAAAAACGACCGAAAGATTTGCACGGTCGTTAGCAAGCAAGCACGGAAGCAAGCAAGCAAGCACGCAAGCAAGCAAGCACGCAAGCAAGCAAGCAAACTTAATATAAAGAATTTAAAAAATTAACCCGTAAAACAAAGTTTTTCACTATAAATCCTTTATATGCTTGGCATCGGTTTCATTTTATTATTC